ATCAAATATATAGACCAATCATTTCAAAAATAAAAATTTGTTGACCACCATAAATTTTTGGAGGATCCGATCTTTGAGAATCTTTTGTAGGATCAAGATAGCAGTGTTTGGAAATCGGGACAATAATACCCCTGCTCTGTCCCCTTCATTTAATCAATAATATTGCCAATGGTTCTCACCTTCAGCCCAAATAATATCTTTGTAAAAACTATGGGAAAAAATAAAAAATATCACTTAAACATGTGGTTACTAATTCACATTTTTATTATCGAAGTGATATAATGAAAATATGTCCTTTATCACATTAGTAAAAATAATTTTAAATGGCACATACTTATATTTTGAAAGGCATAAATGTAAAAATATAAAAAAGATGGTAGTATGCGTAATTTTATCAGACGGTGAATTTCACTATTTGACAAAATTATTTAAGTTGCAACATAAGAATTTATAATTTCTTTGTTTTCTTATCTTATTTTTTTTATTTGCGTTTACTTTTTTACTAAAAAAAAAAGTAATATAACAAAAACAAACAAATATAATTAAAAGCAAATTAAAAAAAGATAAGAAATTAAGATTAAAACTGACGTATTGATTATATATCAAAGGAATCCAGATAGTGCTTCTTAGGATTGTTGCAATATCAATAATAAGCACTTCGCTTTATTCCATGTAATGAAAAAGATAAAAGTACTTTCTAGTATGTTCAATGCTAATGTAAAAAAGAGTGATTGCAATCGGTAATGAAAACTGATAAGATTTTGTAAAACAAATTGAATTTGTAAAATCTGGTAGATATAAGATAATAAAATGCGAATTGGACGAGGCACAACTTTTGCTAAAGCCATTATCCACCATATTGGATACATCATTAATTAGGTTTTTTTTTTTTTTTTTTTTTTTTTTTTTTTTTTTTTTTAATATGGCTAAAACCAACAAGCAAATCAGATTATCCATTTAAAATTGTAGGAAATCTTGCGCAAATATCAAAGTTAAGCAAAGTACATATAATTGGCTGTCCAAGCTTTTTTTTTTTGGATAAAATAAGTGTTAAGTTCAAGTTGGCAAGAAATATTTACTAAAAAAAAAAAGTTGAAAATAATAAATAATTTCACTCCTATCTGTCTGACTCCTTGAGGACAAAAAAAAAAAAAAGAGTAAAATTTAGAACAGGTGACAATGTATATGCATATATACAAGTCAAAAAGCAACATATTAAAAGAAATTGAATGAAATAAATTAATAGTTGTCTAAGACCTCTTGATATAGTGACGCTGGGGAATTTAAATAAGGAGTTGCGGGTTCAATCTTATATTTTATAAAAAAATAATTAATTAATAGGGTCTGTCTCTACTCTCTAGAGCTCATTTTCAAACATCCCAAAGCAGCAAATTCCTTATCGTTTTCAGCTAAACATTTCTTATCCCTCAAGGAAATGGTGGTGCCAGCAGCATTGGAAACCCGATCTATTGTCCGAGTTGAACATTAACATATTGTTGTGGCTGATACATTATTTGTGGCCGGTATAATGATTGTTGTTGCGCCATCTGTACTTGTTGAGGTAGCGGCACCGGCAGTGAGTACAATTGTGGCTGCCCTACTCCAACAGAGGTTTGTTGCCTAAAATTATATCGACCAATTCCCAGTCGTAGAAACGGTGCTTGTTGCTGCTGTAACGGTTGTCGCTGCATCCGCATTTGTTGTTGTACCAGCTGTTGTGGCAGGACATACAAAATATTGGCTATGTTTGAAATTGATCATGTTTTTATTTTTCACGTTTTTTTAAAAAAAAAAAAACGTTTTCAAAACTGCGTTTGGTGTAATAAAGACAAAAAACGAAAATAAAATAATTTTTTAGTTTAGTGTAAAATGAGAGAGAAATAAAAGATGACTTTCAGTTATTTTTCATTTTCGTTTTCTCTTCTCCCGAGCAGAGAGAGAGAGAGACATTAATGAATTTTTTATACTTAAAACAATCTCTTAATAAAATTACTAAACACAATTTTAAAAATGATTTCTGTCTGAAATTGAAAACGTTTTCGTTTTCATTTTCATTTTCATACAAAAACAAAATCATTTTGAAACGAGCTCTAAACGCGTCCATTATTATCGCGGAAACAATATTTGTTGTTGTCGTTGTTGTTGTAACCGTTGTTGCCTCATATGTGATTGTTGAGGTAGTTGCGACTACTGTTGGTGCAGTCCTCCAAACCAAGTTTGAGGAGCGTAAATATTTTGTTGTCGTTGATACTGTTGTTGTTGCTACTTTTGTCCCTGCATTTGTAACTGTAGTTGTATCGAACCAAAGATCTCAGCTTGTTGTGGTTCATTCTGAACATCTTCAGCAAACCCTATCGACATGACGACACCGCCGTCTTCTTGGTTTCGTTCTGGTTGCCTATTGTGTCCGTTAGCATTTTGGTTCTGAGGCACCATCTCCGCTAAAGTAGTCTCAAATAATGCTTATAACCTTAAAACAACGGACAAAAATATGCAGACAATCGTAATTGGATCGAACATAGTATTATCGAAAAACCTATTATTCTAGCTCAAAGATAATCAGTCTTAATCCATACTCTAATGATCATAACTTATATCAATCATAATCTTAAGCAATTTCCTTAATTGTTTTTTTTTTATTATAAAAGTTTAGAAAAATTGAAATCTGCTCTCATTTTATAAGAAAAATATATAACTCTATCCTTACTGAGTAATTAAAATAGTGATTATTCCGTTACTTTACAAGAAAAATTATAATTGTATCCCGACGAAAATAAACATTTATATATCCATTCAATAAAATAGTATCTCTAATGTTTTTCATAGTGCCGCCACATATCAACTTCCAAATGCCTACGGGCTACGAGTTCCTTTCTTAAAAATGAAAGGCTTCAAATCCAATATTGGTAACAATTATCCATAATACGAATTATTAATCCCTCCAAATAGCTTCACAAAGAAATTCTTAGAACAATATAAAATCCATACGACAAATTTGATGTCAAGATCCCACAATTAAAGAAAGTGAATAACCAAATTTATTGTTTCTATATCCAATAAATTTAGTTGACCCATGATAAATTTTGAGAAAATACGATCTTAAGTAGGATCGAAATAACAACGGTTTGGAATTGGAACACTAGTAAAAACGATGCTGTCCCCTTCATATGATCATGCCAATGGTCCTCCTCAAGAAAACAAGGTTCACCATTAGATTTTCCATTAAAGATTCAATTATAAGCACTTTGTTCTTATAAAGCACTATGACGTTTCTTCTTAACTATTTTATGCAAATAAAAAAGACGTTATTTAGTTGTAAAAGTGATAAGATTTTAGTAACAAGCTATTTCGATCCTAGTACTCAAGATTCTCAAAGTTCGGATTCTCCCAAATTTTATCGTTGGTCATCTAAATTGATGTAAACGACAAGAAATTTTGTTATTTTCGACTAGGTGTATTATTATTGTTGATGAGTTTTTCAGATTGATGGAGATAGGTTCTTGAGATTAGGAATTAAATTCAGTACTAATTAGTCACTAGAAATTTCTGTGTTACCTTATTTCTACCCATTTAGATTAATTTCGTAAAATTAATCTCATATTATTAATCCTCCATGAAGATTCATTTACTATGTTATGGCCTAAATTTCTTTAAAATAAATCTAGAATTTATCAAACCCTAACCCTAAATATGCAATTTAAATCATCCCAAGTACAAGAAATTAATGAATGCTGGAATGAATTATTGCCTACCAAACCAAGAAGAAATCAGCTTCTATCGTCTCTTCTTTCTCCAGGTACTTGAGCGCCCCTTTTTTCTTCCTATGAGTGTAGGGTTTGTCAAGGCCAAAATGCTCACACACACACACACACACACACACACACACACACACATATATATATATATGGAGTACATTCTTTTTTCCCTTCAAAAATTTAAGTTTAACTATTATTTTTTTTAACTCCAATATTCATGCCACTACACAAAATTTGATAACACTATAAAAAATAACATGTATGATACGAAATTATAACTTACAGGTTATAAAAGATAAGTTGGCATAAGATATTTAACAATAGTGCAAAAATAAAATAGTGCTACTTTATTGTTGGCATTTTTGAAAATTCCTCTTAAAAGATAAATAACCACTTATTTTCTGATTATTTAATAATTTATTAAAATCATAATTTGTCCTTTATAAGTGGTAGTAAATGAAACAAATGAAAACTGTATTTGAATTTGAATCACGAAGTCTTGAATTTGAAGGTATTTACAAGGGCCTGAAGGTTTTTTTTGTAAGTTTTTGAATAATATTACAAATTATTCAGCAAGATTTAAAAAGTATATTCCAAATTATTCAGCAAGATTTAAAAAGTATAAATTTTATTAGACCACTTCATAACATAAGAGAAAAACAACTTTATAATTAAGAGTGGGCACATGTAATCGTAGTTTTTAGGTGTATAATTTATTATCCCTGAAAAGAAAGTTACATATTAACCTTCAAACATCGGTGTGGTGATCTTCTAGGTCTTGAATTGTAACATTTTAAGGGTAAGACACTAATTCATATATATATATATAAGAATCCGTGAATGGAAGTAAAACCCTCATGGCTTACGAGGGATGGATTCCATGATCGGAAGGCAAACCATCCATATTTTTGTCGCTTAGTGCATACATATCTACGCTTGACGCACGTCATGATTTTTACTTCCTTAATTTCTCAAAAGAAAGTACTTAGGATCACAACAAAAAAATCCAACCAAGACTAAGAAAAGAAACAATCTGATTCATATGATCTGGTTCTGTTGGCTCAGGAATCATCTCACGTGCAAAGCAGCTTTTTAACAGCCAAGACCAACCAATAGCCACTTTTTATTATTTTTTTCACTCAATTTTGGATTTACATTACACATGTCATGAAAGTTGCTTTTATTTGCTACGGCATGAAGCAGGAACTCTCAAAAACTTTGCTCAAACTTCAACCGTCAATTTCTTGAGAAGAACAAGAATAATTTGGCATTTAAAGCAAATTTGTATTCCACGAAGGATTCATTTGAAATTGAAGGTTCATAAATCAGTTGATCATTTGTTTTCCTTTCTAACCCCTTGGTTTATAAGAAGAAAATTTACGAAGATATAAAATATTTGTTGAAGTACAGCTTATGTGCTACGTCAAAAGAAAAGCCCAAAATAAAATTTATGAAGATATAAAATATTTGTTGAATTACGACTTACCCAATAGTGGAACTCTCCTTTGAGCTGCAGGTGAAGAACAAAAGATTCAATTAAAAGTGAATAATAATAATAATAATAATAATAATAATAATAATAAAGTCAATCAAGGAAACAGTTAAAGCCCAAAAGAAGCAGACTTGTAAACAAGTAGTTGGTAACTTCTTGAAGAACCATGAAACCCAGTTTAGATAAAGATAGATCACAAAAGAAAAATTAAAAAAAAGGATGGTGTGAAAATGGAAGCATTTGTTTTGGTTTCCGAGCAATAGCTGATATGTACTTGCGTACTTGTCCCTTTTTTTTTTTTAGGGCATATTGGTTTTTGGACACGTGACAACTTGAGTTTTATGTTTCTTGTGTAATTTATGTTTTTTTTGTTTTTTTATAATTTGTGTACTTTATATTATAGGCTTATTATTACACTCTTTGTATTTTATCAGAATAATAGAGACACTTTTTTAATTAAAATTAATCACGTTAATATCTCTCGATTTTTTATAAAAATTACACAGATACTCCATTAATTGACCATCAATCTTGATCAATGTCAAAAATGTCCCTCTATTTATCAAAAAAATGTTTTAAGTTGTACATAATATTTGAAAAGACTTGTATGCCCTTATTTAGCATAAATATGAGTTTAGTTAATTTTTACACAATTATAACTATAATTTTCACTCTAATAAATACAAATATTTTCTCGATTTTTTCCCTAAAAATCCTTTTTTTTAGTAATGTTCTCCATCCATTAAACTAGCGTATTGAATTAAAAACCATTTAATATTTAGTGCATTATTAGGACTAATAATATTATAATGAAAATTAATTTAATTGAAAGAATAAATTAAATAGGACAATTTATCCTAATAATGAAACAAAAATGGTTTAAATTAAACTTAACACATTAATGACAAAAAAATATAGTACAAAAAAATTAAACGCATTAACTTTTTTTAATATATTTTTACGTTAACTCTTTAAAAATATATTACAATACATCTCCTAACACAATTTTTTTATTAAAAAAATCAAATAAAAAAGAAAGAAAGCAAATTTAACACATTAGTAGTTTTAACATTTCTCATCAAAATTTAACAGTGTTTCAAATAGAGGGTGTTGCTGTTATTAAATTCACTACAATTTTAATAAAACACAAAGAGTGTCACTATAATAAACCCTTTATCTTATTACTGCAAGAACGGAAGTTCTTTTATGCCCTTTCAAGAAAAAAAAAATGTCATTTTTTACTGTCGATTATACGATGTCGTATGAAAACTGAGATTAAAATGTTCAAGCCAAGGGTT